ACGACAAGTTGCAACATTTTTTTGCCTGTATTACCGCACATTTAGTAAACACCTAATATTTCATAACAGGTTTTCGAAGTCAAAGAAGGTAGGCGATACCGTATACCTATAACAATAGAAGAACAATAGAATTTCTTGATAAGGAGCTTCTTTTCGGAGGGGCTAATTTTCGGATTTTTACTTTATGTCATTCCAAGAAGGAAATTAATTATAGGCATACGACTCGAGTAATCAAGATCTTAAAAAATGGTTTCAAAACTATACATATATCAACACTAGCCGTGTTCTCGACCAGAGTAGTAATAATAAGATAAACAGGTCATTCCTAGCTATTCTTGTATCTTGGAAAGAGCTATATATATATATATATTTCTTATTGCTAATCGCTTATCGCTTTTGACTCCGATAACCTTTTTTTGAAGTATTTATAGCAAGAAAAGGAGAAATCTTGAAGTGAGGTGATATTTTATTAATTCAAACATGATCAAAGATACATCGGCTCCATTCACCTGCATTAAGTACAAAACGTATGTTTTCCTGCCCTTATACTTCTAAGAAGAATGACGCGATAGATTCGGTATGTCGGGACCATATGTAAAGGTTGTATACCGTTACCAAGGTGGATATGAGATATATCAACCCCGAGCAGCGAAGACAAGGGTTGATGTCTTTCATATCCACCGTATAAGGTATAAAACCACCTTATATCATCATTGGGGAAGTTTCTTAAAACGGGGTTGATAACTAGATGTCAACCAGGACATTCCTTCGTTTAATTAATTTGGGTAAATATGAAGGATAAAGACTACCGCCAGTGAACAAAATAACTCAATGATGATATAACCCGTGCATAAACCCGCTACGGTCCGGGCATATATCGTCTATTTTGAAACATTTCCTTTCGTACGACACGTTATGACAATTATATCACGCGTATAAACCAGCAACTCTCTGGCTTGGCATATGTGGTGTATAAAGCTAATTCAAAAAAGGTTGGTGAAGATTGTGAGGCATGTTCAATTCCATGCTGCATACCAGCTTTGTAAATGCAGCATGTAATGAAACCTTCAACAACCTTATTTTAAATAGCTGAGCTTTATAGTCATGTATTCTTGGAGTGCAAGCACATGATTCAAAATCCCTCGAGATATAAATAACAGTGCATGAAACACCCGCCATGTTGGTTCGAACAAGCGAAGTAAATGAGGAATGCTTTGTTATCGTCAACCAACATGGAAGCTATGGCTGGTACCCCAAGAATGCGCAAGCAGCTACTTTCCGGGCACATAGCGTACCATACGGTCTAAGTTATCAATTGCGATATGTAACCTACAAAGCAAGAGTATCTATCTATAGAGTGTCTACCGGCTACTCCACGTGTATGCATACAACGTAACCAGTGCATATCTCATGCATGGAGACTTTGCACCATCATGTGATGGTAGCCATCACAGAAGGCATAACGACAGAGCTTTTCCTGAGAAACTAAATCCTTTCTCATGTAAACCAAATTAACTAGATCCAACGGTTCTTTCCTTCTGTTATAACTGTCAAGGTGAAGGCGCAAAGATTATACAATATGTACCTATCTAGATGTTTGTTCAGTGGAACCCAATTACGGTCACCTGATTACGGACACTTTTTTCTGTCCCTTCGATGCCCTCATTAGAGGTTCCAATGACCCTTACGTCCGGAGCACTCTCTCCATAAGAGATTCCAGCCATTTATTCATTTGGACTAAAATTCCTAAGTTCTAAATAATATAGGACGTAAAAACAGCTAACAGTTTAGAAGGGTAAGCTAAAACTGTTTTCTAGACCGTTGATATCTATCAGAAGCCTTATGTGAATGGATTTATAATGGTGACGACTATGAAGTGCAGTAGTCAAGCATTTAGATTGAACTAATCTAACTAACAGTTTAGAGGGCTAAGCTAAAACTGTTTTCTAGACCGTTGATATCTATCAGAAGCCTTATGTGAATGGATTTATAATGGAGACGACCATGAAGTGCAGTAGTCAAGCATTTAAATTGAAATTCGAATTGAAAGGAGTTTAAAATTTCCTTAAAATATTTTGTTGTAATTCTTGACCATTTATATTTTATCGCTTTGGATTAATTCAGTAAAGCAGATTTTACATGACTGTAGAAAAAAACACAACCGCAACAACAACGGAAATGACGACCATTGTTAAGCCAATTACATTCCTTGAGACTGTTGTTCAGACAATCAGAGCTCTTAGTAACTGTCGCTGTCCAATCACATAGCTGTTGGTTAATTTTCAGCCAAATTTTCAGCGAAATTGTTGCATGTTCGTCCAATCAGAAAACTTAGTCATTATCACATGGTATTTGTTCAGCACGCTGGAATTGTAAGTTTTTCACAGTCATTCAAAGTCTACTCTCTTTGTGCAGTGTTAAAAACAAACGCTCTTCAAATGCGTATATGAACTTCAAGTTCTTTTTTGTAAAAGACCTGCTCTTTAATTATATTTGCGTGAAATTTATTCCCTTTTCCAAAACTTCAAAAGAAAACAAGTAATGACCTCTATGTGTATGGGATTGGCTGTAAGACGAAATATGGGACACTGGGATCAAAACTAGGCTCTACTATCTTCCCTAAATTGAGTCCAACATTCCTAATGCAAGACTTTAATTGACTTTAATTGAAATTCGGATTGACGAATGAACATTAATAGTCTAGGTGCTTGTCATTGTAATGGCCCTGTCAGGTAAGACTCAAAACCAGCCATCTGGTAGAGATTCCAAAGACTTGGTCAGGAATCTTCTTGGTTTTTAAGCCACGATTTACTAGGCTTTACTACTAAGTGCGTCCAGATAAATTACGAGAATTCGTCTTGAATCAGTGAAGGCAGAGTAAATTGAAAAGATCCCGCGTGCTTCTCATTGAGATATATACATTTTTGATGGCATTCGATGACACATATGACGTCACATGTATGTGATGTATACTGTACGACATGATAATCAAGTCATTTATCACAAACTTTTGCCAGCACGTAGAGCATTAGTGTCTAGAGTGCGGAGACTTACTAGTCGGCTAAGACCCCTTGCATGTGACGTCAAAGAACCTCAATTTGGAGGACAAAACAAAAGAATTTCAATCTCATGAGAATTGGCCATGGAAACCTATTGTTATGTCCTCCAAACTGAGCTGCATGACGATGTCCTTTCATTGAACATCATTCCTGACATCGTATTTAACAATTCAGCTATTGATGGTTTTCAAGCATTCCCAAGAGAATT